TTTCTCTGGCTAGAAGAGTGTTAAATTTGCATATGAAAGTTTCCGAATTTATACGAAAAGGCGCTATTAGACAAATATAAATACAGAAGGGTTGATACAGCCTTTCAAAGAAAAACTCTGGTTCTGTTACTTGCGCTTTATTTTTAAAGGTGGTGATGCATTGAACCAGGTGAAGGTTAGAGCATACTCATGGAAATGAGTGTCAGTGGCTGATGGTTTGGTTCATGCAATTTATACAGGAGGAATGCACTGGCCTGTGGAGTTGGATGGGATCATTTTCTGTATATGCTCAACTGTTAAGAACTATTATGCAGCTTAAAGGTTTAAATGTACTTTTACTGAGTTTTCTTAACTGCATCAGTGTTTCTCAGTGCCGTCTCTCTCCACTAGAGGGCAGCATTGAGCTGCAGACTAATGTAAACACAAACGACCCAAGTGAAAGTCAGCTTCTTCATTGTCACTCTGATCTGATAGATACTCTAGCTGTGTTTGATCATATGTTCAGTCTCAAAAGTTACAATATGCACTTATACATAGCAACGTCACGGTGACAAAAAGCGATAGTTTCTATGGATGTGACAACCATCACTGGATGTCACAATTTCCTCTCTTGATTTTCAACAGCTTGCCCATGGAGCTGTTAAATACAGTTATTTAGGGTCTTTGCCTCACAATATAAAGCGTTTGAGGCACCTCTTGTTCTGATTCATCACTACATTAATAAAAATGAAATGAATTAAATATTATGACAAAACAAACCCTGAACTTTTCTGACCTTTGGAGTTGTTGATGACGCTTTCCAAACAAGTTTTGAAATTTAACAATGAGGTTATATTTTTACAAAAGCACATTTCTCAGTTACAGCATCTGCTAAGTTGATTTGATTTCAGTGTTTTACACAGATATATAGTTTAGTACGGTGTATTCAGTTTTATCTGCGCTCATAATCACTATGCAAATCTTTCTGTAATAGGTGAATAACACACTAAGAACATCATGCTCTCAGTTGTAGAACTAAATGAGTTACAGCAAATAACCCATCAGTGACCTGAAGAGTTGCCTTGACGGTCTCTACAGAACAACTTTTCTTTTCTGTTCAGTATAGAAAAATGTGTATTCCTTTACTGCAATCAGTTTCACCCAGCAACAGCAAACATCCTGTAACCACTTGCAAACCAGTCGTGGAAAAAGGATTTTTCCCTCATGACCAATAGTTATCACGTGGCCACCAGCTGATCAATAGTCTCCTGCAAATTGATGGATGGTTATTGTTGCCAAAAACAGGTTTACTGCACCCTTTGTCCCACTCACATTATACTGACACTGCCAGTGGACTTCAAGGATCAGAGGCAGCAGGGAGAATGTAACGTGGTATGTAAATGCAAGAGACAAAGGGTTTCTTTTCTTGGATCTGCATGGCAGCTGCACTGGTGTCGCTTTAAGTGAGAACTTTATGAACCTCATAAATCGGTTTGGGGGCATTCCTTGGAGATTTTGAGGTAAATCTCTGGAGAAGATCCTGGACTGCTCTGTGAAAGGCATGTCTGTAGCAGAACTGGCAGACTGTAATGGAAAGTCTGCACTTTTATTCTAATGACAAATATAAGTGTTATATCAATGCTTGTTTGTGGGATGCTGCTATAGTTTTCTGGGTTGTGCCACTTTCGAAGCAGGAAGATCAGTTACACAGAGAAAGGTCGCTGACTGATGTTTTCAGTTTTGTCAAGCCAGCAAATGCAAAAAAAGAACTTTGTTAATTACCAAGACCACACTGAGGGGAAAACATACTGCAAAGGCAGTGGGTTGTCACACATGGTCATTTCACACCACATTATGCATTGAAACACTGAAGTACATAACTAAGTATCAAAGTAGTTAGGAATGTCCAGCACTCTACCTGACCCTCCCTGAGGCAAACCTGAAGGACCACAGCTGCTCTCTGAGGTGACTGCTCCAGCCTGAGCAGATGGAAGGCTGAGAGAAGGCACAGCAAGGAACTATGTTACTATTCAGCCAGTAGTCTGGACACACTGCACCACAACCACGACAGCAGCGATCACCCACGACTTACTGTGTAGCCTGCTGCCCCTGGTCATTTTTTAGCTGCACAGTCAGGGTTAGAAATAACAGGAAACATGGCTAACCAACACAGGGGTAGAAAGTTGTGCCAGGACATGATGATAAGCTGAGAAATACACCAGTTAAGTTCGACGCATTTGTTTATGTAGTTTCATATAAATTTAATGAAATAAAAAACTATAAGAGAAAGCAACTGTCTGAGTACGGTCAGGTTTATTGTGTCTCTCTAAGCTTGATATTACAGCTTTTGGTAGGGGGAAGATTCATAAAAAATGTATAGAGTTTATCTGCGGTGTTAGAATTATATTGGCAATTGTCATTTGTACAAATACTGTCACATGCGTATTCTATTCAATTCAATTCAACTTTGTTTGTACAGCGCCAAATCACAACAAGGTGCTTTATATTGTAAGGTAGACCTCACAATAACACATACATAGAGAAACCCAACAATCATATGACCCCTTATGAGCAAGGACTTTGGTCACAGTGGGAAGGAAAAACTCCCGTTTAACAGGAAGAAACCTCCAACCAGGCTCAGGGAGGGGCGGGGCCATCTGCTGCGACTGGTTGGGGAGAGAGGAGGAACATTTAACCCTTCCAAGATGGCGTTACACCTTTTCTGACAGCTGGAATGATCATCTGTTTACAACATCACAGCAGTCATAAGGAATTCCTTCCCTGTAGCTGCCATGCTATGAAATATCCAAGGTGGCTCAGGTGCACAGGAATTTGGCCTTTCAAAACAGAAATCTTCAGTCTTACAGTTGCGCTGTACCACAAACTCCACCCTGCTGCCACAAAGGCAGTTTCACCCTCAGTGGGGAAGTTCATGAGTTTTGATAACAAACCAGGCACCGAATGCACTGCTGTCACATTTGGGGCCAAAAGTCCGTTTAGGTTAGATTCAATTCTTCTTTGTTGAGGATTCTTAACTCTTTGCTTTGTTCCTTGATAATTCAGGGTCACGATTCCCAAGCATGTCTTTCATCCTGTCTTCCTTCTCTCTCCCCAACAGGTCGTGGCAGGTGGCCCCGCCCCTCCCTGAGCCTGGTTTTGCTGGAGGTTTCTAGTGTTAAAAGGGAGCCAAAGTGCTTCCTCATAGGGGGTCATATGATTGTTCAGTTTTTCTCTGTATGTATTATTGTAGGTCTACCTTACAATATAAAGCACCTTGGGGTCATTGTTGATGTGATTTGGTGCTGAATTGAATTGAACTGAACTGAATTGAAAATTGATCAATTCAACATAGCAACTAGCTGGCTAATGTTGTTGCTAGCAAGATATGATCTGAAGCCAGAATTTGTTTTGCTCTCATTTTGTGTTGGAGTCCGTGTTGTGTCAATTTCCAGACTGGTACTGGTCACCATGGGCACTGACAGTTGAAGAGAGGCATCCGCAGTCTCTTAGAAGGGACCCAGAGTGTCACCAAAAGTCTCCCTTTTTCTAGAGCATGACAGTCCAGACAGTGCCAGTAAAGGGCATTTAATTAATCATGTTTGAGAAGATTCAGGAATCCAGGCTTCACTAGTATCTTATCTAAGATCAGCTGGGAAAACTCCTGTTAAAAGTATGGCTAGATGGAATCACTGGTTCCCTTACATGAAGGCTTCTCATTGACATGTTGACAAATTGAAAATTGAAATTGAAATGTATGTAAATAGAATGAAAGACTTTAACTAATGTTATAACAGTCATTCATCATCAATTGATCAGTATTAACTGTAAAGACATTTCCATTATATTTCATTTGAATCATGAGCTTTGCTCCTGTGTCTGTAAAACAGAAATTAAAAATTTTAGTTACTGGTTTATTTTTTTATTTTTATTTTTTTAAAATGACACTAATGGTGATAAAAAGGTTATATGGCACTGGCAGCCATGCTGGACTCTCCACTCTGCTCAAACATTCCTGTTTCACTACTAGAGATGGGCAGTAACGCGTTACTGTAATCTGATTACTTTTTTCAAGTAACAAGTAAAGTAAGGGATTACTATTGCAAAAACGGTAATTAGATTACCGTTACTTTCCTGTAGGAACGCTGCGTTACTGCGTTACTAAAACCGTGATTTTTTGCGAGAATGTCTCACGACAGTGACGTAAGCGAGTGCGCCGTTAGTGACAACAGCTGTGTGCAGATCAACAATGGATCACATATGAGTGTGGGAGAGAGTATGAGCGTGCAGCGTTTAAAGCGTGGAAGTACTGACCTTACTTTGAGTTTGATTCCATAAAAAGTGACAAAAACATTAGCGTCCATCGTGCGTGGGAAGAAAACTTCTTTTTACAGCTAAAAAAAACCCTAAACTTCCAAGCAAGCACCGAGTAGCTACGACGTAATGGGAAACTCACAGAGAAACTCGCGGATTCTTCCACTGACCGCGGCACACCTGCACCAGGGTAAACCTCCGCCTACCGCACTCCTGCTTTACAGGTGAAAATAGAGCAACAGGACCGCTGAGTCTTTGACTTTATTTATTTTCTGCTGTGTTTTACTTGCATCTATTTGAAAGAGTGAGTGTAAACACAAAAAATATTTTATTTTATGTGCTGGAATGTGCAGAAAATAGGTTTAAATGTTAAACTAATTTATTCCAGTCAGAGAATGTTGCATATAATTAAATTTTTGCTTGATGCATAAAGTTAAAAGATTAAAACTGATAAAACAAGTTAAAAAAAGAGACTTTTCCATTTGATTACATTTTGTATGATGGATTATGTAGAAAAAGTAGAATTGCTGAAAGATCTATCGCTTTATCACCTCTTCAGGTTGTAAATCGTGTTTTTAAAAAGTAACTAAGTAACTAAGTAACTAATTACTTTTTAAAATAAGTAATCAGTAAAGTAACGGGATTACTTTTTGGGGAAGTAATCAGTAATTAGTTACTGATTACTTTTTTCAAGTAACTTGACCAACACTGTTCACTACACAGAGACATCAGAGCATCCCATAACCAAACTAACACTCAAACAAAGGCAGAGGAAAAAGAAAACAAGTATAAACCAATCACTTTCATCTTGATTAGGTACAATTAAATAACAGTCTTGGGAAGGAAGGAAGACCAAATCTTTTTTATTTATATATTTATTTGCATGGATGTGTCTTTGACATATGACTCATTCAGAGCAGCTCAAATGCCATTGCTGAGTATGCCACAAATTATTCAAGGAAAACAAATCATAGCAAATACCAATTTACTTTTGCTGTTATTAGTACAACTGTTGAATTGATTGGAGGAAGATAGGGTGGTGTATAAGTGGAGGACGGTGCACACAAGTGGACTACATCTTATGTAGTAGGCGCAATCTGAAAGAGGTAGGAGACTGCACGATGGTCGCACAGGAGAATTTAACTAGGCAGCAAAGATGGTAGTCTGTAGGATCACTTCAATCATCAAGAGGAAGCGAGGGCAGAGGCTCAGGAAGGAATTGAGACGTGCTCTGGGTGGAAGGGAAGAATTACAAGCCGACTGGGAACATACAGCTGTAGTGCTGAGGGAAGCTGCCAAGCTGTTTGGTGCATCCTCTGGACAGAGGAAGTATTGGAAGGTTAGGCTTATGGGAAAGAGAGAAAATCTATCTGCTTGGCCAATCTATCAATTGGCCAGGCAGAGAGAGACTGAGATGGAAAAGATGTGCAGTGGGTTAGGATGATTAAACACAGAAATGGAAATGTGCTAATGATTGAAGAGTCTGTTGACAAGACAGAAGACAGAAGAAATACTCCAAGGAACCGATGAATGAAGAAATCAAGAGTGAGAGGAGGATAGATGGTGGAGAGTTTTTGAATCAGGAAGTGCAGAGGATTAGTAAGGAATAAGTGGAGGCAGCTATGAAGATGATGAAGAGTGGAAAAACAGCTGGTCCAGATGACATAGCTGTGATGGTGTGTGAATTACCGGGAAACTGGTGGAAATGTTAACATGTAAGGAGCAGAGATGAGTTTAAATACCTGGGGTCAACCATCCAAAGCAACGGACATGGCAAAAGAGAGGTGAGGCAGGGTAGTCTTGGTGGAAATGAGTGTCAGGGGTGATATGCGATAGAAGGGTAGCAGCAAGAGTGGAAGAGAAGGCTTACAAGGCGCCAGTGAGACCTTACTCCATCACGATAAGAGGCTGAGGTGGAGGTGGTCGCAGAATTTTAGATGTTAAGATTTAAATTCAGATTGACCAGAAAGGACAAGAAAGAGAAATGAGTACATCAGAAAGATATCTCTGAGTGAGCGGTTTGGAGAGAAAGTTGGAGAGAAAAGGTTGAGATGGTTTAGGATGTATGCAGAGGAGGTTTGTGGATGTAGTGCACGGGGTTGGTGTGACAGAAGAGGATACCAGAGACAGGGAGAGGTGGATGCAGATGATCTGCTGTGGTGACCCCTAAAGGGATCAGCCAAAACAAGTATCAATACATGTGTTGTAAACATATACTTGCTTGTGCAAAAACTAGTTGAGAAATCTGTACTGGAAACTTTAACCCTGAGAAAATCTCACAAAAACTAAAGATCCTTTGGTGCTCACATGTTCTTAACTGCTCCAGTCACGCAGGTATTCAACCATTGAGGATCAAAAGTCAAACTAATATTACTGCAGATATTATATGATGATTGAACTGGATAAACAGAAGAGAACGGTTTGATGGATGAGTGTTTTAATACACCTCAGCAGGAAAAAGGAAAAAGACTCCTGAGGCTGACAGAAAATGAAAGGACATCTATCACTTGAGATGACTGTGAGTGCAATATCATACCACTAAAATGCTCAGGAAACTCTTCCAAAGGTTAAATCTGTATACTTTCATTCATTGTATGCCTCTGTGTGTCTGCCACTATACCAGCGTTTTGAATATAGATTATAAATTTAATGCTCTTGATGATGTCCTAGTATTTTCTAAAGATGCCCAAACTGACAGCACTAGCATCATTTGCCTCCTACAAGCGACACTGATATACAAATCCAAGACATGGTTACTAAATAGCTTTGATATGTGGTCAAAATTGAGGTAAGATCAAAGCCTGCCTTCTGACATCCCATTTTAAAGTTTAAAGAAAATATACTGTAAAATGTACAATTCATGAGGAAAACAGATAAACAGACTTCAGTGACTTTAGCTGGTTAGCTATGGCTAGCCCACATCCCTTTTTTCACTGAATAAAAGAGATGCTGTAGCTTCTTAACTGACTTTGTTGAACATCAACTTTACAACTGAAATTTACGTCATGGTGCGGAAAATATTAAAAACAAACAAAGAAACTTTCCCGGATAGGCGGAGTAATCCTTAAACCAAGTAAAGTCATGTCATGTGACTTTTTTTTTTTTTTAGTTTAAATGCCTTTTACAGCATTTAATTCATGATAAATGATCAAACTAGCCCCTGACTATAAATGGGCGCGCTAACTAAAGCATCTTACAGACTTTTGCATTATTGGTAATCACCAAAAGAGATTTTCCACAAGGGCCACTTTAAACCCCAACAGGATCCTAAATGTTCCAAAGTTGTTTTCTTTCAGAAAATGATCCATGAGGTTTTTTTGTGGTTTTTATTGGATCGTCCTGATCTGAACCTGTGTTGACTTTCTCTGTATTCATGCAACATCAGCACTAGGGTATTAGTGCGTCCATCAGAATCTAGATTCTATTTGATTATTCACTGACTTTACAGAGCTGTTGGATTAAATCTGTCTGATTTTCAGGCAGCAACTTGGAAAAAGCAAGTTTAAAACTTTAAAAACATCTAAGTAAATAATGATCACGATAGTCTTTCTTTCCACCTTCTCATTCAGTTGTGCCTTCCAAAATGAAAATGCCTTGTATAATCATCATGTCAGCCAATTGTCTGTGTCCATATAAGATTAGCTACACAGTATGCAATTCTTTTTCTTGTCCTCTCAATACTCTTCAACTGCTGGGCATGTAGCAGGACAGTGCAGCAGACAGAGGAGTCTGAGCCCCAGCATCGTCTTTCAGGCCTGAGATAGATGCAGCATGCAGGGCTGTTTTTGGACATACAAACAGAACCCAGCTGAGGAAGCAGAACAGATATCGCCCCTTTGATGAACAAACCCAAAACTGTAATGTTGTGAAATACGAACGAATGAAACAGCTGGTTTTGGCCATCTGTTGGTATTATTACACACAGAGTAAAGGACAAACACATTATACTGGTAGCAGCTGATGAATATGTTGTTTCACGTATGGGCAACAAAATGCTTAAAAGTATGTATTTACCTATTTCCATAGAAACATGTTTATTTTGACGTTCCCGGGCTCAGGCCGTGTCGTGTACAAAGAGAAGTTGAAAATGAACCTGAAAAAGACTTCAAAATGACACCTCGTCTAAATTGTACAAAAGTTGTTTCATTTCTTTTTTGTTATGTCATAAGTAGCACCTGTGTGCTTTTACATACGCACTTCTTCTTTTGACTTTTAAAGCTGTAAAGTGGGTTTTTTTCTTCATTCAATAATCACAGATCGTTAACTCTGTGAGCTTTGATGTAATAACTCCATGGAACAATACGAGTGTGTGTTTGCGAATGATTTTATCCCAGAGTTTGGTAAAGCTGATCATCCCACTTTCTCTCAGGTTTTGTTTCTTCTCAAACAGTTTGACTTTGTTAGATTAGTCCGTGTCAGTCCTGCTTAACAAACTTTGACCTCCAAAACCCAAACCAAAAGGGTTTCACCTGAAGAGCTTAGGACAGGAGATGGAGGAGGTGGAGTATCGGGGAACGAGGCACAAAGCTGGAAGAGGAGGAAGAGATCTTTGGTTCTCAATGGAACCGCTGAACACAAAATCTTGGATCCTTAGTTTCTTGTATTTCAATCTGGTTAAGAAAGAGAGAGAAAGAACAGAGACGGTGTCAGGACAGCAGCATCTGAGCTGAGAAATGGAAACTGAAACATGCCATGAGAGACAAAGCAGGTATGTGCCAGGACTCATTCTTGTCCTGCATGCTATATACTATTTTGTACTGGCAGGGATAGACTGTGCTTGAACACTGGGGTTATATGTCAAGCACAAAATTAGGCATCATTTGCACACATTTCTATCTCATATGCAACAGTTTAGAGTGGAAATGTCTCTGTAAAATCATGCACAATTCACAGACTGCACACATCTGTTGAAACAGAAAATTCCTTCCTCACCTTCAGTGAATTTCATGTGTTTGTTATTTTGTGAAGAACACCAAGACAATGCCTCCTATATTTTCTGAATAAAATCTGATATGTATCTGAGAAGATATGATGTGAAATGCCCAACCTGTCCTGTCTCACAATGCTAAAGAATCCAAATATTCCTGGATCCAGACTTCTGGACTCTGCGTTTTGAAGCCTCAAAGTTAGTGGGGTTATTTTTGGTATATAGTTGGCACATTTAGATGATGACTGCATTCTAAAGCTTCAGGTATAAAACACATATAACTGCTCATTACTGCCAAGTACCAGACTAATAAAATACACAAATTTCACTCAGCACAACCACACAGCAGGTATTATTATTAATCGACAGCGACATTCATGAAGACCATAACCACTATCGAGCTGTTATGATGGATTAAATTATTAATAGAGTCCAAGATTTTTGTTCTTTTTTGTTTGTTTATTTGTCCCGGACTTCAGACAGTCTTCAGCATGAATGTTTTGGACTTCAGACAGTCTTCAGCATGAATGTTTTGGAGTGGGATGTACCACAGAGAAGTGTCACGCCTTGTAGTTCAAACCAGCCTGCGATCTTTCTGTGAACCAAACCGTGTAGTTTAATAAAGTTATTTAAATTGATAATATCATATCAAAAATAGCTGTTAGTGTCGAAATCTGTTGGCAGTTGAATATTTTCCCTTTAAAAGTGGAAAAATAATTATTTTGTATACGAGACCCAAATGGATCCATATGAAACCAGACGGATGTTAGAGGCTGTGACTACTGCCTGGTATGTGGCATTCTGACATTTTCTAGTATTTTCAATTCTATTCTTCCGTAGATCAGTTTTGCACGTTCATTATTTTCCTGCTGACTCCACACACATTCAGCCAAGACTGACTCTTCTTTCCTCTCCTATTCTGTTTGGTGTTGTAACCTTTTTCAATTTAAATGAGTGATGTTAAAATTCAAATGACTGTTGGAGCTTCCTTTGTTTATGTCACATGACTGCAAGTCAAAGTAGGGGAACTGTCACAAGGACTTTGACATATGAATCAGCAGGTGGTGAATAAAAGGCCAAAAACATACAGAAACATTGTAATGTGACAGTTTTTCTTACAGATTTTGCAGCCTCATTCTGACACACTTTCAATGTAATTTTATCCTTTAGAGCTGCTATGTCTATTTGAAATGCATAAACCTTCATAGTTCTGCCATGAGATCTTAGGTCTTTAATGTTTTATTAATGTTTATTGATAACTCAATGAAAAAAATGTTTCTTTTGATGGATTAAAAGAACCGAAAACTATTGTAAATGTCACAAATACAAATGGGAGCAACTTACTGGCCTGTGAATACCAAGGTCAGATCAAGTTTAATTAAACTCAGTTAAGCAAGCAGCAGTCTGATTTGAGGCATCCATTATTTAGCCAGTCACAGCTGCCCCTGGATGAACCTCCTGTTTGTCACAAACAGGCTGGATGGGGAGGGATGGGGGTTGAGTTTGAATGTTGCTGATGAAGGCTGCCTGTGGAGAAGGATATTAATAGCTCCAGCACTTACCGGATGACTCATTCTTCAAGCAAAACCGTCGAATGAAAATGATTTTTTACACAAAGTTGGTTGGATGTTGGGTGAGATGTGGAGGTTATTGAATATTGTATTATCTGTTAGGTGCCGCACCTCCAAGAAATACATACGTACTGGACCCAGTTACAGTGTGAGGGGATTTGTCTTGCACATTATGTTTCTTGACATCTATGTATTTTTGTAAACACTAAATTCTCTAAGCCTGGTTCTGCTGGAGGTTTCTTCCTGTTAAAAGGGAGTTTTTCCTTCCCACTGTTGCCAAAGTGCTGCTCATAGGGGCTCATATAATTGTTGGATTTTTCAGTGTATGTATTTTTGTAGGGCCTACCTTACAATATAAAGCACTTTGAGGCGACTGTTGCTGTGATTTGGTGCTATATAAATAAAATTGAACTGAATTGAATTAAATTCCTACTGTATCAGATATTTGACGTGGTGGGCCTCATCACAACGGTAAGGCTAATATGGTTAAAGCTGTCAAAGAACTTGGAGTGATAAGGAGGAGAGCTAAAAGAACATTACACTGCAAACACCAGCATACAGCTGCAAAGTCAATGCTTTGCCATTTTAACTGAGGACCACCAGTCTTTTAAAGCATAGGTTCAGATTTACATTGCAATAACATCAGTGCTCCAAAAGAAAGGACAGCACAACATAATGTATTTACACACAAAAGCGCCCCTGTTGACCATTATGAATAATGCAGCCTAACTAGTAAATAAAACCCTCACTCCAAGAAATCTGAGATGTGTAAGATTTAAATCACTTCTCACAAACCCACAAATGATTCACAGTAGAGCATAGAAAACATATCAAGTGATTAAACTGAGACCTAATATTTCATGAAAAATATAGCTCATTTTGAATAAGATGGCAGCAATACTGTCACGGCTGGGTTCTCTTTTGTTTTCTTTGTTTTTCTCAGTGAATCTAAGCTTCAGTTGGAATGGTGGCTCCACCTCTGGGCAGAGTATTGTAGACTGTACTGTCTTCACTCCTGTAGTGATAATCGCTGGAATTGTCACCTGGAATACTCACTTGCCTGCAAGCCCTCTGCCACTGGTCACTTCCCTCTTGGAATCGACCTGCCTCCTAAGATACCCCTCATGTTTATGCTCACTGCCACGTAAGACTGTAGTCCACTCACTCTTGGACATAGTTCAGTACCTATTGAGCCCTCTCGTTTCACTCTGGATTCACTCTTGTCCCTTTGCAGAACTCCCATTGTTGATCCTATTAACCGTGAATTCAAGCTTCCTCTCAGTCACCTTTGCATTATTTTTTAAATGATTTTGTGCAAATAAACTTAAAAAAAAATGCAATCAGCTGGAATCCGCTCTTAACAGTCCGTAAATATCCATGGAGGTAACCAAGGAGACCAGCTGCTGGACTAGTGAGGAAACCTATTCCTGCCTGATTCTGTTTTAATGCAGTGCTGCAGAGATTTCTCCAGACTGGCTGAATCTCTTGATATTATGCACTATATATGGTGTGATATTAAATGTTTTCACAATTTGAAATTGATGAACATTATCTTGAAGTTATTGCAGTTTTTTGCTGACTTCTCTTGTCTTTGGAGAAGCTGTCTCTCCAGGGTCACGTTGTGGTCAATGGTTGTTGGACATTTGATAAGATACTTATGTGGTCATATTAAGGTACATATATTTCTACTTATTTAAGCTATGTGTTACATTTAACATAATTTTTAACTTCTTTAACAATGGACTTTTCCTAATTTTGGGATATCTTAAGTTCTTTCTGTTAAACAGAACTGAGAAAGGCTTTCTTTCCCTCTCATGGTCTTCCACTCATCCAAGCATTCATGCGTCTCATGTTTGCCATTTTTTAAACAAGATCAAATCATCTGACATTGAAAATCAACTCTCACATGTTTTAATGTTATTTTTTTCCAGACTACAGGGTATCTTACTTGTTCTGTAAAGAACAGATACATAACATGAGGAATCTGTAGACAAGGCACAAGATTTTTTCATCTATCTCCTGTTTAAGCATAGAACATGTAATGAGCAAAAGGACTACGTTTTCTGAAATTCAATCTCAAAACCATCGATTATTATCGGCCAATAACTTTGCTTTTTATTAGCTTTTAAAATTGTAAATTTTGAACTAGTGTCCTTGTAATTAGTATCCGTCATCTACTACCTGGATATGATGGCTATACCAGAGGCCCTGAAAAACTGGCTGTGTTCCCCTGTGGGAAGGTAACACATTCCCAGAGTAGTCACCTCTGTTTCTTCATATAGAGTCAAATCCACCAGAGAGAGGGAATGAACCCTTTTGTCAAAAAGCAATTTATGAGGGATATGAAAATTGTCCTAATTTTATGATAAAATCATAATGAATAATTGATCATCATGATGATCATAATAATAATAAAAAAAATAATTATTAACAACAACAACATGGCCCTGTGACAAATTGGCGACCTGACCCGGGTGTACCCGCCCTTCTCCCTACAGTAGCTGCAAACCAGCACAACCCTGAACTGGAAGAGCATAAGAGAATGGATCAGTGCCTTTGGGTTTAATTATTCAGTTATACACTGAATACTTAAGGTATGTAAAGTGCAACCCACAGCCCTCCTTGAAGCAGTAAGCCAAAAAACTAAGGACGGTCCCAGCCTTGACCAATGAGAAACATAGCTGGCGTGGGCCAGTGCTGACCAATGAGAAACATAGACTATATATATATTGGCCCCTATGATGGCTGAGAAAGACTGCGGTAAGATCCTGTTTGACGTCCAGATGCAGGTGGACGCAGGAAGATGACCATATTTCCAAAAACTTTGAACACTTTCCTTTAACATTCAATTTGCTCTAAAAATTACTTTCACTTTGTAAATTGTATTGAGCATTTTCTTTGACAAGGAAGCTAATTAAACAGAATTACAAAATAAGGATAAGTAAAAGTTAAGTGCAAAGTTTCTCACAAGACAGGAAAGCCATCAAGTTCTCAGGCATAACTGATCAAAGCACATGCAAGGAGAACATGCTGGAGATTAACTCGACAAAACTGCAGTGTCTTACACCATCCATTCGCAGAGGTGGACCAAGATGGAGCTAAAGGAAGGAAGGAAGCAGTTTTAATGTAACACTATGGTAACTAAAGGATCTCACTGTGCACGCATTTTGAACATTTCACATTCATGATGGTCTGCTGGTTTGTTTAGTGCTAGTAGTGATAGATTGCTATCCCATCAATGACATTGGTGCTTAAATTAAATCAACCTGACATCGCATGAACACCATTGGATACAGCCGAATCCTTGAACTTAAATCCTACTTCTTTTATTAAAAAACAAAAAAGTCATGATCTCAAAGAAAGAAGTGAAGAAAAACTCAAGGATATAAGTGTTTCATAGGCCGACGCCAATGAGCAAAACCGAGGCATAAGATGGAAAATGCAACAGTAATTTTCATAATGGACTGGATCTCTGAGTGGTCAGATGGTGGATGCACCTCGTTAAATTGTGCATCATTTGCTTTTATTTCATAAAGGACATTTCAGTATATCTTTTACTAATACCGGAAATTAGAGCATATTTCATAGCTTAAATTTAAAAAAAAAAGACTTCAAAGAAGCACTGTTGATATTCACAGTACTACCTCCAGTGATTGTAATCACAGAACCTTTCCTGTGACACACCTGTCACCCATTTATGTGTGCAGAGATTTTTAAGTGGACCACACACATTGACGAATATACACAGAAGCTTGACATCCTGCATCACGCACAGTCTTCAGTGAAAGGCCTTTCCCGACTTGACGTCTTGACACATCCACTTGCAGTGGGTCCCGCTCCTTTGGGAAAACGTGCCCGGGGATGTTTTGCTCTACATGTGACCACCCACTAAATTCTTTCGCATTTCTAGCTCTGTGCTTTTTATTTTAGCCTGCATTCACTCAAGTCGATACACGAGTATACAAGAGTCTCTAAAGTGAAGGAACACCATCGCTCTCGTGAGGACAAATGCTAAATATCTGACCTGACAGCAGGTCAGCTGAAGCTCAGACTGAAAAGAAATGGTTTACTGTGCCATTTTAAATTGACATAACTGGCAATTTAAAACAGACACTATTACTTGACAAATTGATCGTGACTAAATTAGCGATTAAGAAAAATGCATGGATATGCACAGGATAGTAAGTATTGAGACTCTCTGAATCATGTTGTAGATATAATTTTAAATGGATACCGTCAGTTTTCAAAAAGGGTAACAAAAGTAGCAAAAGTAGTGGCTCATCAGCCACTTTTCAGCTAATTGAAAATCTTATTGTATTGCTTTACTGGCAATACAATAAAAGAAAAAACTGAAATGGGATACCGAGCAGCATGTATTTCTATTCTAAATAATAACAGGATATTATTCAGACTAAATCTGAAGAGTTTAGTGTCTGTTATAATCATGATGTGATAAATACAGTAAATCAACCATGAAACCACAGACTGAAGACATGATGTACTCGTACATGTTCACTTACCCTTGACACAACGAAGTCTGTGGAAAAGAAACAAGGACAAAGGTCACACTTTGATTGATTGAAGGTTGTTGAATGAAAACATGTCTGGTAGTGGCTGTGACCTGACAGCTTTTAACAGTATTCTAACTTTATTTAGTATTAAATAATTATGTTATGAGATATCCAAATGTGACGTAATGTTTCAGTTTGTGCACTGACTGATTTTTAAAGCTTGCTGCCTGCCAGAGCTTATACAGAATTCACTTTTCAAATAATACTTGACTGTTTGCGGTTCATAAGAAGGGATCAATTACTATGTTTTTAAAAATCTTGCAACAGCCAAATACTTCATACATACATAAAGGGAGTTCTGGTCACATAGTTAAGTCACTATATCAGAAGTGCCATCACTGTCTGTGAGTGCCAATGCAGTTAATGTACTCCAGTCTGATAATCTGTTTGCTGAAGGACTTGTCAACACTCCTACTGTAATACTCAATTCAGTTCAACTCAAAATGTATTTGCACACATTGATTTAGCACCAAAACACAATGGAAGTTACCACAAGGTGCTTTATATTGTGAGGTTAGGTATGTTCTCCTTGTGCCTGTATGGTTTCTACCATGAAGGCCTCCAGAGAGATGCAAGTTAGGTTCAGTGGAGACTCTAAATTTCCACAGGTGTGGGTCAGTGTAAGTGGTTGTCTGAATGTACTCTGCTGATGAAAAGCAAAAGCAGAACCAACTTTCAGACAGAAGCTTATCCCAGTTCTTGTGCAGTTTATTTTCAAGGCTTAAATGAGAATCACACGATTACAGAGAGTGAAATATTATACAGGAAGCAATTGCTCATTCAGGTATTGCTTTAGTGCTGATAGCTGGTCACTAGCACTCTGTTGAAGATTTCCCAAGATAAGCCTCTAATGCATTTACTGCCTCTAATGTACACTATATTTCCAAAAGAATTGGCTTGCTTGCCTTCACATGCATATGAACTTGAGTGACATCCCATTCCTTGGCCCACCATTTGCAGATATAACATCTTCAGTTCTTCTGGGATGGCCTCTCCCTTAGAGATAGGGTGAGAGGTTCAGCCATCCAGGAGGGGCTCAGAGTAGAGCAGCTGCTCCTCCACATCGAAAGGAGCCAGTTGAGGTGGTTCGGGCATCTGACAAGGATGCCTCCTGGGTGAGGTGTTCTGGGCATGTCCCACTGGGAGGAGGCCCCGGGGCAGACCCAGGACTTGCTGGAAAGATTATATCTCTCAGCTGGCCTGAAAACGCCTTGGTGTTCCCCCAGACAAGCTGGAGGAGGTGGCTGGGGAGGGGGAGGTCTGGGCTTTTCTGCTTGGGCTGCTGCCTGCTGCCTCCGCGACCCGGCCCCGGATAAGCGGAAGAAGATGGTTGGATGGATGGAAGTCTTCTGGGAAAGCTTTCTAAAAGGTTTCTAGAGTGTTTATGGGATTTTTTTTTTACTGTTCTTCCAAAATCACATTTGGAAGATCAGAGGCTGATGTTTTACAAGAAGGCCTGGATCACCATCTCTGCTCTAATTAATCCCATTAGGTGGAGGTCAGTACTCAGGCTGGTCAAATTCCTCGACACCAAGCTCATTCATCCATGTCTTTATGGACATTGCTCTGTGCACTGGTGTGCAGTCATGTTGTCAATCCTGGAAATGTTCCCAACGTTGGAAATGATTATTTGGAGCATGAAATTGTCCAAAATGTCTTGGTATGCTGAAGCATTAAGAGTTCCTTTGACTGAAACTAAGGGGCCAAGCCCAACTCCTGAAAAACAATCCCACAACATAATCTCCAAATTTCACCAAACTTCACACTTGGCACAGTGCAGTCAGACAAGTACTGTTCTTCAGGCTACCACCAAATCCAGATTTTCATTTGGATTGCCAGACATGGTGTGATTCATCACTTCAGAGGGCACAACTCCACTGCTGTAGAGTCAAGTGTGCTTTACACCACAGCATCTGACACTTTGCATCGTGCTTGGTAATGTAAAGCTTGGATGCAGCTGCTCAGCCACGGAAAGTTATTCCATGAAGCTCTCTAAGCGCTGCTCACTAATCTGAAGGGCACATGAAGTTTGGAGATGTGCCGCTATGGACTCTGCAAAAAGTTGGTGACCTCTGCGCACTGAGCTCCTGAGAATGACCCATTCTTCATTTGGATTGGTTAGTGAAAACTTTTGGCAATAAGGTTTTCTCCAGAAAATCTTATCTTTAACCTGAAAAACAACTCTAATAGCCCCAGTGCAGTTTGTCACAGCCAACGTCTGGATTTTGGCTTGGTTTTTAAATAAATGATGATAATAATATCTGTTATTGTTCATATGAGGCTGCATTTATCTGCTATTGTTGTGATATGGTGCTAAATATATATCAACAAATATAAATAAAATGGAATTGAATGGAACTGAATTAGTTTTTATTATGTCCTGATATGTGAAACCTTACATTTTAAACATTGTGTACTAACCTTTTGTCATGAATTTTCTACATAACATAATGATGCTCTTTATTTCCAATGAATTTTTCTGCCTTGGTTTGTTTTCTCCAATCCTCACCTTTGTTTTCAGCCTTCAGCTCCTCCTGCAGGAAGTCCCTCTGCCGATTGCCCAGCACGAAGGCCAAAAAGGAGAGGATGAGGGCATCCAGCACGCCGATGATAGCCAGAATGTAGGCCCAACGAACAGAGCAGTTGCCCAAGGTATACTTTCCAGTGTCCTCACCACACATGTCCTGGATCACCTCTGCGTCCCAGCCATCCGGGAAGATCATACAGCCAAGCACGAGACAGATGGCTAAGAAAAAAAGAGGGAATGTAGGCCAGCAGTGAGCAAAGGGATTACTCAATTAATAATTACTACAAAGATGTGATAGATAAACAGTAGTCACAACAACCTGAGTGGAACTGTATTTGTCTTGTGTGAGACGGGATTTTGTTAGGGACCACGTATGATATCATGCAGAGTGATGGGTCAAAGTAACAGATGTGTTACATTTAAAAACAGCTCATGACGGAAAATGTCAAGGCTGTAGGACCCAAACGCATGATTCATAACATGAAGGAATAACAAAAAGGCTTTCTTTGCTGTAAGACCCAAACACAAGGAAACCTAACCTAGAACTGGAAACTAGGAACTGGGACTGGGACTGGAACTGGAACAGAAAACTAAGAAACCGCAGAGCACAGACGACACACACAGCAATGTGGGAAAACAACGATGGGATATACAGACATAATGAGACAGGGAGGAAGCCGAATGAACGTACTGAACACAGGACTAGGGACTATCAAAATAAAACAGGAAACATGTTTCACAAGGTGTAATGTTGCATGTTGTAATTGGCATGTTTTAACTTGGTGTGTTTAATTATTTTGCATGTGTTGCTGTGTTTTATTATTTTTGATAATGTTGTTTTATTCTTACAGTTTTATTGCATGCTTTTATTGTGACATTTGTTGACCTGTTTCTGGAGAGCACGTGCCCCCCCATACTCCCCCGCCCATGATCGCTTAACAGTTTGGCACACAGATCATGTGACACACCTGTGAGAGATCATTGCCTGGAAAAACTGCAAGGAGATTGACCAATCAGGGTTCACCTTTTGGCCACTGAAGGCCAATAAGAGGGCCTGGCAGGACGGATGAGAGTCATCGGGTGGTGAGCGGCGGCTAACGGGCAAAAGGACTAGGGTGATGATGAGGGTGATGATGGTGGTAATGGTGGTGATGGTGGTGGTGATGGTGGTGGTGGTGATGATGGTGACGGTGGTGATGATGGTGATGATGATGGTGGTGGTGGTGATGATATGGATGATGATGATGGTGATGATGATGATGGTGATGATGGTGGTGGTGATGAGTGATGAGGATGATGGATGTGATGGTGGTGGTGATGATGGTGATGATGGTGGTGGTGATGGTGATGATGATGATGGTGGATGGTGGTGGATGGTGATGATATGGTGATGATGATGGTGATGATGGTGGTGGTGATGGTGATGAGATGATGGTGATGATGATGGTTGATGATGATGGTGGTGATGGTGGATGATGATGATGGTGATGGATGGTGATGATGGTGGTGGTGTGATGATGATGATGATGGTGATGATGATGGTGGTGATGATGGTGAATGATGGTGATGGTGGTGATGATGATGGTGATGATGGTGATGATGATGATGATGATGGTGATGTGTGGTGATGATGATGATGATGATGATGTGATGTGGTGATGATGGTGAGATGATGGTGATGGTGGTGTGATGATGGTGATGATGGTGATGATGATGGTGATGATGGTGATGATGATGGTGATGATGGTGATGGTGGTGATGATGGTGATGATGGTGGTGATGGTGATGATGGTGATGGTGGTGATGATGATGTGGATGATGATGGTGATGGTGGTGTGATGATGGGATGATGGTGATGATGATGTATGGTGGTGATGGTGATGGTGATGATGGTGGTGGTGATGTGTGATGATGTGATGTGTGATGATGATGATGATGGTGATGGTGATGATGATGATGATGGTGATGTGGTGATGATGTGTGATGATGGATGGCGGTGATGGTGATGGTGGATGATGGTGATGGTGGTGGTGATGGTGATGATGGTGATGGTGGTGATGATGAGTGATGATGATGATGGTGGTGGTGATGGTGATGATGGTGATGTGGTGATGATGATGATGGTGGTGATGATGGTGGATGATGGTGATGGTGATGATGATGGATGGTGGTGATGGTGATGGTGATGATGGTGGTGATGATGATGGTGATGGTGGTGATGTGGTGGTGATGATGGTGATGTGGTGATGATGATGGTGATGATGATGGTGATGGTGGTGATGATGATGGTGATGATGGTAGGTGGTGATGGTGATGGTGATGATGTGGTGATGATGATGGTGATGATGTGATGATGGTGATGGTGGTGATGATGATGGTGATGATGGTGATGGTGGTGATGATGATGATGTGATGATGGTGGTGATGGTGGTGATGATGATGGTATGGTGATGAGGTGGTGATGATGATGATGGTGATGTGGTGGTGATGATGTGATGGTGGTGATGATGATGGTCATGGTGGTGATGGTGACCACGAAGCAACGCCGTGTAAATAAATGAAAGTGATTGCTCTCTTTCTTTCTCTTTAATTATTCGGCTAAGGCCAATGGAACTTTTTTTGTTTTATTGTTTCTACATAATTAAGTTCTTGTTGGCCGTTGTCTTATTGTTTGTTTCTATGGTAAATAAATTTTATTTTAGCAACTTTTATTAGTTTTATTGCCTTGGCTCTGTTTGGCTTATTGTGACATTAGCATGATGCATACATTTTCATGGCAATATTTTCTTTGCTGCTGAACACGATGAGCTTCATTACTTAGAATGAAGCAAAATGAAAGCACTGATCAGGCAATCTGCAAATTCTTCCTGGAGAGTCTGGCTGTCATGAAGCTTTTTCCTTTGGTTGCTAGCACACAAAATGCAACTACAAAAATGCAATTTTGTAGCCACTGAAAATTAAAATTAATTGACATACAACACACACAAGACAGCTGTGCATTAGTTACATCACAGTCACATTAACCATAGGACATCTTTTTGTACAGAGGTCACAGACCGTATATAAATTCCTCCATGTGTACTCAACTGTAAATCTCCACATTACATCTGATGGCCCTGTTCTTGTGACCATTTGGATCACTTTTTTCCCTATTTTGAACTACAAAAGGATGCATCTGTGGAAACTTTGTGTGCGTGTTTATATGTGCATGCCCCCATAAGGCCCAAGTGATCCCTTGGTGTGTATGGGCCCAGCTGACGTCAGGCTGGCCCTAACAGATGGGTCCCTGAATGCCTCATTTACTGGACTATTGCTACTATTGAGAGCAGCACAAGGCAGAAACCCCCCCAGAAAAACTTGTATGAACTCAAAACGTAGGAACATGCAGGAATGTTGAGGGTTCAGCTGTTATAATGGACACTGAGCTGCATTCAGTTTACTTCAACGATAACAACACTATCCAAACACTCCATGTCTCGTTATAGACTGTGTAATAATACAGTTAACTATTATAGAAGGATTTGCATTTTTAAATTCATTTGTGTAAATATCTGGATAGATGTTTATGTTAAATTTACTAACAAAACAACAACATGTAAATGGTTTGTGTGAATGTGTGAAGCTCTAGGCATGGAGAGTTTTTGTAAATCTGGACTATGCCAGGGCATGAAGTAGAACCATTGCTCTGCATCTCCACCAGAAACAAAGAGAGAAATTTGCTGCCAACACCTGAACAAAAGCAGCTTCGGTGAGTGGTTTCCCCATTAATTTATTATTTCTAAGAAAATCGATTAATGGTCTTTATTAATTAACGGCATAAAAAAAAAAATCATGGTCTAATAGTCATTTTAGTTATGATGCCAGACATCCCACAATTTTGAATTGGTTTCTGGGGATGTTGTTTCTGAAATACTAACCCAAATGAAACCCTCAATAAGCTCAGCTGATATTTTACCCACAATCTAATTTGTTAAACTCTTTGACTCTATCGATTCCTCTGCGGTCCCTCTAAATTGCTCTTTGCCATCAGGCTGTGTTCCAGGCTACTTCAAACACGGTGTTGTCCAACTCCTGTTGGAAAAACAAAGCCCAAACCTGGACTTGTCACTACCCATGGGCTATAGGACCATTTCAAAACTTCCTTTTATTGCCAGAATATTAGAAAAGCTTGTTGGGACACAATTACGGAAAGTTTTGAAGTAGCAAAACTTTCAGTGTGGGTTTCAGAAAGTTACATTCCACTGGAATAGCTCTCCTTAAAGTCCTCTAATGACCAAATATAAGTGACTGTCCAGTCCTTGTTTTGTTGATAGAGGAGTAGACAAACTGGCTTTCCAGGCTAAACGATAATCTTCTAAATTAGTGGGAGATGCTAGTTCCTCTTCAGCTTATGCCTTATCTGGTTAAGGTACACATTTGAGAGTTATATCAGGGAGTCAAATAGTCGACTACTCTTGTGAGAATTTTGGATAAAAGGAAGGTCGAAGATTGTTTAGCAGTTTAATTACTATATGATGAAATAAAAACAAATGTGCAATATAAATGTCTGAAAGAAGTAGATTTATCAAATGATCCTAGATATATCACCCCTAGAGTCAGTGTCAAAGGGACTCTAAGTGAGAGTTTCTATGACAGACACTGCACAAGTATGATCTTTGTACCTCAGTGTTTACCGGCACATTTAAAATACGTCATCTAATTTATGCAGTTTACTTCAAAAGCAACGACAGCAGGTTTAATGTGCTGTTACGAGTTTTTCTCCTGCCTGTATGACAGAAGTGAACATTCACTTTTAATGATTCATCCAGACTCATTTTAATCCATGTCAGGAAAGCTGGGGAGGTCCCCTGTGTGAGTGTGTCTCTGAATGTGCACTCATGCATATTAGAAAAAAAAATCAATGTAGGTTTCCTGTGAGTTAGCTCACTGGTGTGAGAGACAGTTGTGTGAGAGACAGTTGTGTGTGTGTGTGTGTGTGTGTGTGGTTTCCAGACTAGCACAAACATGATCCCATTTTTGTAGCATGATACTTTGATGTCCTCATATTCCTGTCACTCTTCTCAGTGTGGGGTTTAATTTAGCCGCTCTCTGCTGTGGAACATGACGCTAATAACACAGCTGTGGCCTCACTGAAAGCTTTGCTCTGTCTTTTTCTTTTTAAATCTCTACTTGGTGCATGGACTTCCCCAGCTACGATGAGCCCCTAGGACTCCGTAAGG